GACTGCCCCCCCCCCCCAGCGTGTGCACCAAGGCCACTGTTGAGGCCGGCCAGGTACCCGAGGGAGCCGGAGTCCCCAACCAGGCCCTGACCTTGTCTCGGGGCAAAATGCCTGCCGCCCACCTCATACCACCCACCACCCGGGGGCCGGGGGGGGGGGGGGGGGGGGGGCGCTGGGCTCGACTCCCCAGCGCAGCCGGACTGGCCTGGAGAGCAGCGGGAAGCCAGCAAGGAGAGAATGACTGGCCCTTTAAGAGGTCTGGCTGCGCTGTAGACACTTGCTGCAGAAACAAGTGGACTATAAAGTTACTTCAAAAAGGTACATTCTGTTCCTTAGCACCACTGGGTGGGGATGGGCATGGTGCCATAGCAGCCAGCTTCCCACCCTGGGCGTCCGGGGAACTTCCTCTTGGTAGGTGAGGCTGGGGGGCCCTGGCCTTGGGCAGGGCAGAGGCTGGCTTCCTCAAACCTGGACAAGGCAGGGGAAGGTGCCCTCCACATCGAGGGGCCACGGGGAGCACGAGGTGTACGCGGGGGCCTGTGTGGGCAGCGGCCCCCGCTACACAAGACACCTTGGTCTCTGCTCCCTGGTTAGGGCACTGGTGAGATGGTGGGCAGGCGCCCGGGGATCACGACTCGACAAGGGCTTCCCAGAAGCCTCTTCGCTGGGTTCCATCCCCGGGGCGCTCCCCACACCTCCCTGCGCCCAGGCGAGAACACTGCCTGTCACCCCACACCCCACCCTCCGAAAGGGTGGGGCCCTGGCAGCAACATCCGAAGGTAGATGCTATTGTCACCCCAGTGCTAGAGACCAGGAGACCAAAGTTGGGAAAGGGGAAGGCAGCTGTCCACTGTCTCCCAGAGAAGGCTGCAGACAAGCAGACTGCTCAGGTCTCCCCACACTGCGGATGCTCGGGCGCCCCGATGCTGGGCCTCACACCACCCAGAGCCAGAGGCAGCCGGCGGGGGGAGACGCCAAGCTCAGCCGGAGGGCAGGAGAGCTGAGCCTCAGACTCCGCTTACACTGCACTGAGCAGAACGCACCCCACTCACACCACACGCGCTCTGTCCTCTCAGAGGTGGCACAGGCCGGCAGGCAGGCAGCTCCTACCCTGCCAACCTCCTCTCTCCACATCACCCCCAAGAGCAGCTCTGCAGGGCCTGAGTCTCAGCTGTCGCCATGAGGCTAGAGGTGCCGGCTGGCAGGCTGCCCCTCAGGCGCGCCCCAATGGGCCGCATTCCCACCGCCAGGCCGACGCGATGTCCCGACAGGCTACGCTGTCTCAGGTGGCTCGAGAAAGAATTACAGACTGTGGCTCCTGGTGACGGCACAGCGCGGGTCGTCCTGGGGTCTTCCCTCGCCTGGCGGCACCCCCCACCCCAGAACCGGAGGCCAACCCTGAGACTTAGCCCCCCCCACGGCTCCTCCCGGAGAGAGCGAGACACCCCTTAGCCCGGAAGCCACCAGGCCTCTGCCACCCTGACACTCGCTCCGCCTCGCTCCTGGCGTGCCGCCCCCACGCCCACCTCGCTGACCACCCACCTGCTTCCAGAGAAAGGCATCGCCATGGTTGAGCTGCCAGGCCAAGATCAAGTGCAGGGCGGAGAGACCCAGGCCGCTGAGGACAGCCGCCCGCATGCGGATGGGGAGGAGCGTGTAGGTGATGTAGACAAAGAACACAGGACACCAGAGGCCGACGGAGGGGCTGTGCGGGCTGGCCGCCAGGGCGCCCCCAACCTGCAGGGCCGCCAGGATGCCCAGCACCACATAGCTCACCGCCCACATGGCGTCCTGGCGGAAGCTGTGCCGGTTACACACCACCATGAGCGCCACGAAGAGGGCGGCGGCACAGGCCAGCAGGGCCACGTAGGCGGGCCGGGGGCGGGCGGGCGCGGCGTGGAAGGCCAGCAGCACAGCCGTGAGCAGCACCAGCACCGCCATCAGCAGCGTCAGGCTGCTCTGGTTCATCTGGAAGAAGTACCGCTGGTACAGGCGCTCCAGCTTGGCCGAGCGGAACTGCTTCGACTGAAACACCCGCGCCAGACGCCGCCAGCAGGACCGCCGGCGCCCGGGCGCCACTTCGGGCACAGCCTCGGCAGCCCCGACGGCTGAGGCTGCCTCGACGTCTTCAAAACCCAGGGCGACCGCCCGCAGGCCCAGCTCTGTGCCCTTGCCCGGGCCACCCCTCCGGACGAAGGCCTCTTCCTGCCAGGGACATCGGCGGGGGCCCGCAGGGTTAGGGCTGGGTGGCTGTGCATCCTGGAGGCAGCTCATGTAGTGAGGGGTGCAGAAGCCCCCGGTCCGGGTCCCACGGGGCCTCCGCTTCTGCCCGTTGCGCTCACCCCAGGCAGTCTTCCGCTCGTCCACCTTGGGCACCAGGAGGCCACTAAACCATGACATGCTGCTGGGAAGAGAGGAGAGGCCTGAGGCGGTGATCACAGCGCCCTCCGGCCCACCACCGCCCGCAGCCTCCCCAGCGAGTTCCCGAGCA